TAAAAATATTTTTTTCTTAAAATTGTTTTAAAATATGTTTTTTAGGTATTCGACCTATCTAACCCAAAGGTCGATGACGACTCCAAATTCAAATGAATTTAAATTAAATCTAAATTTCATCAAAATCTCAATTTTCCTCAAAGATTCAAATTAATCAATTTTTTTTCCAAAATAAAGTAATAATAATTTAAAACCAAACTAATACAAACTGAGTTATAAATCCAAATACAATAATAAGGGTCCTATGAATACACATGCCCACTAAAGTTATAGTACAATACTCTGAAGGAGATATTGTAAGTCCTGTTGCGATGATGCTCCATGAATTGCTCAAGCTAATAACATGCGAACAAAAAACATTTGAACGATGAGCTTACAAAGCCCAGTAGTATAATCGCTAATCTAAAGCATCATTATGAGTCTAATAAACATAAGCATGTCAAAAACATGGTACTAAGCAGTAGGTACATGCATGATCTTAATCAAGTACCACCTACTCAATGTTTAAATATTCTATCACTGAAGTAGGAGCCTCGTGCTTCCCTTAATCCTCTTCTAAGGTCCTCACCGTGAGTATACCTCTATTAGGGCTCTACCCACATTGACTGTAACTATTTTGCATTATCTAAATGTGACACTGACTCTGTTGTGAATTATCTAAATGCAACACTGCTATTATCTGGTCTCACATAGCTATCAGACACTATTCAACTGAGGGAACCCAGTGTCACATAACATCGGTACAATTCCCATTCAACTGAAGTATTTGCTCGATCTCACATAGTTATCAAGCTAAGCTTTAAGGATTATATTTTACTGGATTAGTGCAACTATACATGCATAATTAAGGGCCTAAAGCTGCATAACACTGACAATGTCCTACTAGGGCAACTAAGGTAGCATGACTACACTCTAGCATAGCTAGACACACTAAAGTGAGATCACCCTTTCACTAGCTGCTTTCTCGCTCATTCTCTTACCTAAAATGTTATGCAAGGGTTTATTAGTCTCTTACTTATGTTAGTTTATTAAGCGACTCTATTCCAGTTATTCGATACTTAAAGGTGTTTTAGTCATCCTCTATCACTAGAGAAGTCTCTATGTGTTTCATGATTTTACAATGATTATTGTGTTTGTTGTCTAAAACACTAATTAGCTTGATAACTGACTCGGGTTTATTACTGGGCAGCGACACTCTAATCGCTCTTATCGTATTTCTCTTCAAAACCCCTTAAAATGGAATGATAACATATGTTCTCAATTCACTGACATTCTTGAAGCACACGATTTCCGCTATTACTGAATATAAATTACTTATTGTACCGCTTGTCAATACATTCTCTACAACAATCCTCATTCTTAACTATTTGATATGTGCTCGACTAAAGATACTTGGACATATCACGCTTAGTATGGTTACTTCGGTTGTAACCCACTCCTATGAGTGTTTTTAAACATCTTTGGTCATTTATGTCCCTATAGACTAAGTTCCACCATTACAGATCATCCTTAGCTCTTATGAACTTTAAAGAAACAAATTTAACCATCCAAAGTGGGTAGTATCGATACTCTACTTAAAGTATTGATACCCTATGGTCAAGTATCGATATCGTATAAGTATCGGTACCAAAATGACTTCTGTTGCTGAAAATGTGGCCAGTTATGACTGAAGTCATAGGCAAGATAAAAATCGATACCATGTACCCTAAGTATCGATACTGTAGGGGCAATATTGATACTATCAACTGGAAATCCCCAAATTTTGTCCCAATTCATCCAATATTGATATTGTTCACCTAGTATCTCTACTTGAACCTAGAAATATCTTATTTAGGCTAGAAAAACACCCAAAAATCATCCCAAATGTCTTAGTTTGGTTCCTAATCATGTGCTAAAGCTTTTGAAGGTTACTTAGGGCCATAAAGTGGCATAAAAACACATGTTTTACATCTAAAATGTCATTTAATTGTGAAATCAATCATAAACCCTAAAAGGCATAAATATACAAATCTTAGCAATTTTACATGCTTATGAAAGTCTTAACTCTCCAAAGGATTAGAAATACACTACCTTGGTGTTAGAATCCCGAAATGAAGCTCCTTTAACCACCCAACACTCTCCTCTAAGTTGGATGATAAAACTCCACTTTCTCTAGAAAAATAAGAAATCCAAAGCTTGAATCCTTAAAACAATGTTGTTGGGAGAATTATGGACGAAAATGAAGCTTAAAAGAAGTATGAAATGGCTCAAAGGACTTACCCTTAGCTATGCACTTGGAGAGGAAGAGAAGGGAGAAGGGAGAAGGGAGAAGGGAGAAGGGAGAAGGAGAAGGAGAAGGGAGAAGGGAGAAGGGAGAAGGGAGAAGGGAGAAGAGAAGAAGACGAAATGAGATATAATATCTCTCATCTTTTTAAAAATGGTTTAATTACAATTTTGGTCATTCTCATCTTTTTACAATTCAAAAATCCCTTTTTATGGTTAATTGGGCTCAATCCTCATTTAGTTAAGCTAATACTCATCCCAACAACTTCAATTATGAAATCCTCGAAGCCCACATACCTCTCGGGTAAACCTGAAACTACTAGCCCTGAATTTGAAGTATTACTATTGATATTGTTCATCTAGTATCTTTACTTGAACCTAGAAATATCTTATTTAGGCTAGAAAAACACCCAAAAATCATCCCAAATGTCTTAGTTTGGTTTCTAATCATGTGCTAAAGCTTTTGAAGGTTACTTAGGGTCATAAATTGGCATAAAAACACATGTTTTACATCTAAAACGTCATTTAATTGTGAAATCAAGCACAAACCCTAAAAAGAAAAAATACACAAATCTTAGCAATTTTACATGCTTATGAAAGTCTTAACACTCCAAAAATTAGAATACACTACCTTGGTGTTAGAATCCCGAAATGAAGCTCCTTTAACCACCCAACACTCTCCTCTAAGTTGGATGATAAAACTCCACTTTCTCTAGAAAAATAAAAAACCCAAAGCTTGAATCCTTAAAACAATGTTGTTGGGAGAATTATGGACGAAAATGAAGCTTAAAAGAAGTAGGAAATGGCTCAAAGGACTTACCCTTAGCTATGCACTTGGAGAGGAAGAGAAGGAAGAAGAGAAGGGAGAAAAGAAGTGAGAATGAAGAAAGTGAAGAGAAGAAGACGAAATGAGATATAATATCTCTCATTTTTTTAAAATGGGTTAATTACAATTTTGGTCATTCTCATTTTTCTACAATTCAAAAATCCCTTTTTATGGTTAATTGGGCTCAATCCTCATTCAATTAAGCTAATACTCATCCCAACAACTTCAATTATAAAATCCTCGAAGCCCACATACCTCTCGGGTAAACCTGAAACTACTAGCCCTGAATTTGAAGTATTACAAAGATAAAATTATCATTGATGATCGGGATTGTGCATGAAATCCTCATTCAGTTGTGCATGATATTGCTCGTGGTAATACATTTCTGAGCAAAGTTGGCACTTATGATAACCATGTCGATGCGAAGACTAAATCCAAGCTTAGGAAAAATTTGGATTCGGTCGATGTTCATTACTAAAGATTACCCCTTGGAGGGGTATTGTGGAAAAGGTGAAGAACTTGTTCGTTGAAGTGAAGAATTATTTTTTTATTGACTTTGGATGCCACATCGAATTTGAGTTTTTGTCTTGAAACATTTTCACTTTCAGAATTCACGTCACGGTAGAGATTTATTAGAGTTTGACTCGAATTCAAAGAGACATAAATTAATTAATATTTAATTGAGAAAATAAAAATTTAGTTTGATTAAAAGTAGATAACTTTATATACTAAAGGTAAAGGATTAAATATCATGTTTTTATTTCCCCAAAATCTTATTGTGCTTTCTTCCTTCGTATTAGTTAAATTTTTCTTCTCTACCTGTGATTTTTTCATGTTAGATTTATTACATAAATTTTAGTATTATTTATTTTTTGATATTGTTTATCGATAATAGTTTCAATATTATAACGTGCAATGTCATTGTTATGACATGTAAATCTCTTTCCGTGGATAGCATTTTACTTGCTTAATAAACTATTTTCTGATGCCAAGGGCAAAGATATGGTTGAATTTTGAAGCGAAAACCACCGTATGCACGAGAAAGTATTGCATTATATGATACAGGTGTGAAATACTTTTGATTGGTGGTGCACTATTGCTTTGGAAATACATTGTGGATACAGGAGACAACCCACTGTGCTAACTCATGGGCAGCGCGAAAGAGGATGACAATCTGATTAGCTACTTTCACGTGTTTACTTCTTGCACTGCCTGCCTTTTAGTTTAAGAAGGACATCTTCCCATTCGCAAGAGCAACATGCTACAAATTAATATATGCAGGAGAGGTCAGTCAGACAACCTGTTTATTTATTGTTCCTATTGGTACATTTCGAGGCTCCTTGAATAACTTGCATTCAACCGTCTCTCAATCAAAACAACGCATCATTAAATATAAAACCTGAAATTTCAGTCCACCAAGGACCTCCTTTGACTGGCCTATTCGGGTCGGGTTCGGGATCCTTTCTTATCTCGTTGCAAAGTCAAAAATCATGATTAGATGACAGTTAGAACAAACAAGAGCGGCAGCGGCAGATTTTCATAGCTACAGAACATATAGAAAATCAACCGTCCATCTAAAGAAAAGAAAAATGGAAGGGTGTGGTCCAAACCAACAGCTTAGCATGTTACATGTTTGGTCCTCATTAATACAAATCAAAATCCAGGTCCCATTACTGCCTTCCTTTAACACGCTTTTAACAAACAAACAAAAGTAAGATTAAAAAAACTAATCAAACCCTAAATAAGCAAGCATCAACTAAAGCTAATCAAGTAGTATATAAAAAAGAAAACCCCACTCACCGCCTATCTTTCATCACCTTTCAACTTCCAACAAACAAACCCTTTTGTAAAAGCCACCACCATCGATGACGGTGACATGACCCTCCCTCCTCTGCTCATCTATTTGGCTGTGTTTTTTTTGGTGACCACAAGCAAGGCCATAAGTAACTAACTATACTTGGTTCTCTCATGCCTCTGTATGACTGTATCTCACGTCTCACCCTTATCTTCTTATCTACTTTGTTTGGTTTTAGCAGCTAAACAAAATATATGGACACACAAACTGGTAGGCTATTGCCCTTGTTTTTATTTTCCGTACCTATCCTCTAACAATCTCGTGTACCACGGATCCATCATCTCTTTCTGATTTTCCCTGCAAATAAATTGATGTAAATACTAGACTGTAATATATAACCTAAACAAAAAGCACAGCTGATCAAGAACTCAACATGTCATAAACTAAACTTGTATTCCCAAAGCAAAACATTCATAACCTTATCAAACAGAGAATCAATCCATTTTCCTTATTGATTCTATTCCTCGGGCACTTTCTATTTCATGAGAGAATCAAAAGACAAAAGTGAAAGAAAAACAAGTGGCGACTATAAACAGTTGTAGGCTTAGTGGTTATGGTAAATATTATAATGTTCAATCCTCATCAGAAGTTTCGGGGTACTTGTTCAAATCAGGTTTCCGGAAAACTCGAGAAAGGATGGATGATTCCGAAGATGAAGCAGAAGCATGATGAAGCGAAGTTTCCAAAGCGTCGACTTTAGCCCCCACCTCGGTTGCTTTCTTGCGTATGGAAGCGGCGGAGATATCCCGGAGGTCGTCTTCTTGTAAAACGAGGTCAGGGAAGTTGAGCCTAGCGGAAGGGCCACGCAAGTAGAAAACGGCGGTGTCGTAAGCACGAGCAGCGGCTATAGGGGAGGTATAAGAACCGAGCCAAATCCTAGACCTCTTGTTGGGTTCTCTGATTTCAGCAACCCACTTCCCCCACTTCCTCATCCTTATCCCTCTGAATGGTTTCTCTTGCTGCTGTTGCCTACGCAGCTTTCGCTTCTCTCCCTTTGTTGAACTCGAAGTTAAACAACAATCACCCAACTCCATCACACAAAAGATTCCTAAAACTAAATGGAATTATTTTTTCCACTTGTTCTGGAGACTAAAACTTGTAAGCCATAAGAAGAAGAAGAAGAAGAAGGGAACAGATTCTAGCTACGTTTAATCAAAGAATACCCTTTACTTCAAAAGCTATTCTATATTGAATATATACAAGTATGATGTATAATAAATATATATGATAAGAGAGAGAGAGAGAGAGAGAGAGAGAGAGAAGTTTTCCGCTTGGCTGCTAGTCTGTCGACTGGGCACGGCCGCCACGTTAATGGATCTATCTACCTTTACATAAATCCAAATTGGGCCGATATAATCCATCACCTCCAATATTCCTTTTCTCTTTCTAAAAAGCCTACAAATTTTATGTATGATTTCTCGCGGTTATCGGCTTGTAATCGTAGGCATGTGAGCAGCCGACGTGATTATACTCCTAGCAAACTAACCTCCTTGCTTATTTCTATGTTTACCCTTTATTTATTTGTCCTTTTTTTTCCAACTTCAACCATGCTTTTAATTCTTTATTTAACAATCATCCATAACAGGTCGGCATATCATATAAATTAATTTGACCTACTTACAAATTCTTCGCCCGAAAAACCCTACTTAATGGTTAATTTCATATGGTATTCATAAAGCATTTTGTACTCATAGAGAAAGCCACACCTTTATACATAAGTCACCACTCTGTTCCAACTCTCTTAGAGTTCTAAAATCTATCTAAATTATCATTACTCTCAACACTACTATATGAATATGTGCCAACAGTTTTCAGTGATATTTTTAACAGAAATAACTGGATAATTTTGGTTTGTTTTGTTGACAGGATATAATATTGGGTTAGTAATTCGGCAAGCCAAGTGGGATCTAAGTTGAGAAAGAGAAGGGGATGGGGATATGAGTGTGAGTGTGACTTTCCGTCCACGCAATAAAGATCATCGATGGTTTCGGTTTGGGAATCTTTTTGTAGTGGAATTACCAAACTGGTTTAATTACTACGCTTCAAACCATGTCCTTTTTGGGTGTCAAATCTCAATCTTAATCATCCGATTATTGCATTTTTGTTAATTTATCATTTATTTTAAAAAGTTGGTGTCGCTGTAATTATTTTCCATATTTTCTGACTTCTGAGTGCTTAATCCATCATGTGGAAGTGGAACCTCTTCATTGTTTCTTTAAGTTTCAATCACTACAGTAAAAAGATTTGTAGTGGTGGATTTAGCTATTTTTTTACATATAGCTGTGTTTTAGACAAACACTGCTATATCTTAATATATATTGGTTAGCGTCGTTTAAGAAAAAACGTCGTTATTTTATATATATATAACGGTGATTTTAGATAAACACCGCGATATCTTAATATATAGTGGCGTTTTAAAAAAACCGCTAAAAACACGTACTGACGGCTGAAAACTGAACTTTAATAATGATAATTGAAATAATTAAAACAAAAGATAAAATGCTTTTGTACCATGAAGAATTACTATATTATAATTGTCCTTTTAATTATTGTAATTAAAAGATAAATATCGCTATTTAAAATTAATATAAAACTTTTCAGATTTATATATATTTTTTCATAAATTTAGGATAAATATTAGGCAGTGTATGTTCAATGATAACTCTTAAACATTTAATAATGATCGTTTATACCACTAACATATGCGATGTTTAAACTAAATTTGAGACCTCAAAAAGATAACAACAAATTCTTCGACCATTGAGGTCGCTTAGTTCGTGTTTAGATTTATACATTTGAATAAATAGATAAAAAAATGTGAAATTTAATATATAAAACTATATTGTGAAACTTATTATTTCTAGGTAAAATAAAACGAAATGATAGTAAAATCGTTGATTGCATTTTTTAAAACCAAACAATCTCTAAAAGCATTAACAAATAGCTCATTGATGAATATTAACTGTCGTCTTCGTCCTCACTCCATGGATGCTTCAATAGTCGTCCTCCTCACTCCATTGATGCTGCAATTGTCGTTATCCTCACTCCATTTACGCTATAATCATCATCCACTTCAACATCCCACTCATCTTCTCCCTTATCAACTATTAGGGCTTTAAGAAAAAAGTTGTATCTTATTTTTAAATCATTTTTTAATTTAAAATTTAATCATTAAAAAATAATTTAATTTATCCACATCATAACGTTGTTAGATAGTTAACGGCAGAATAACTAAAAAAATTCAATATCTAAAGTACGTGTATAGATGCAAGCAAAACTGGCCAACTATTTAATTAATAAAATACGTGGAAAGAACTTGTATAGTTAAGTTAGTATCATGTGCTTCACCTCACTCGTTTTTGTTTATTCTTTCACCCTTAAACAGAATGCTTTTCATATATGTTTAGCCGTCGACTATTTAAATACCGAACTTTTTCAGCTGCAGTTCAACAGAAACATATCTGATATACTTCCTTTTCCCCCTTATCTTGTCGAGTTCTTTTCTTTTTTTGGACTTGTGGTGGAAGGTTGGTCCACCTTGTTAAAGAGAGAACAAGTCACAATGACCTGAATATTAATGGGCGTAAACAAGAAGATAATGGGTAGTGTGTACTCGAAATGACAAACTAATAGTATGTTTAGGCATGTCCCGGTATTCTATATATTATTCGCCATATTATTCGCCTAATTATTGCCATATTATCACCCTCAAATAGTTGTATTCCTTATTCATCTTCTCCTGTCCAACCAAACTTGAGGCTAAACTAAAGGATTCTTGATATTTCTAGTTTAACTTAAGGTTACTGCACCAACATTTCCATCAGCCAGAAAAAAAAAAGTAATTAAACTACTTCGTTCTGGGTAAAAAACAACGGGTATAGTATTTCAACATAGCAAGGCAACAGAAATTTGATCTAAATAACCTAGAGAATCTCCAATGAAGTGACAACAGATATGTGCTTTGCTTGTTCAAGCCATTAGATAATTTGAAGCTTTCTAAAAACAAAACAAATCAATTAAAATAAAATAAAAAAATTACTCAGCAACCATCCACAGATCAAAGTTCAGGATACACGTACCGAGTTGTTTATGAAACAGGCAATTATTTTAAACCCATGACAGTGTGCAGGAAGGCAGGATTTCATGTTAGGGGTGCAAAATATTTAAACTAATCCCAGATCAAATTATTCGGAGAAAATGTGAGGCTATTCCCACTTTGCAACCACATCGAGCAAATTCCACAATTCTCTTATTCAAACAAGCAGCAAAGTTGCAAATACCGAGACCGAAAACAACCCACCATCCTCACTCCTAGTCTCCTACTAGGCACCAAGATTTTATTCATAACCTCCCAATTTTGCATCACAATCCAAGGCACCCACAAATCAGCATTTGTCACCAAATCCCTACAACAACAGTCCCCAAATCCACCTTACTTGCTCTCCTCATCATATCCACAAAGGACTTATCATCCAAAACCAACTAATCAATCCCTCTAGTCATATAATACAGACATGTTAATCGCTTGTCCGAACTTTAGTTTCCATGCAGTGGTTTGTTACAGACATCAATGTAGGATTTTATGTTAAGGGATGATCTTATAAAATTTTAGGGTGAAAATATATTATCAACATAAAATACAAAGACAGAGACTTTCTTCTGTTTATCAGTTTCATTTAAACCCTTATCCTCTTCACAGTGTAATCAAATTTTAAGCCCTGATTCAAATTCAATCATGCAATGCATACATTTTAAACATGGGAGAAAAAATAGATGACATTTAGTGTTCTGGTTCCATTATGGCATAGCAAGTAGAGAAAATCATAGGTAACAAAAGCATATTTGACAACCGACCTCAGCTACTCAACTAGAATTTCACATGTCCTTGTAGGAGCTTTAAACAAAATGTGGTCAAGTAGCTAAATGACATGTAACAGTTCCACCATTTCTGTTGACCAAGCATATGACTAGAGAGTCTGCGGATATTTCCGGGCTTGCTGTTGAACTCTTTTCTGGTATTCATTTGAGTTCTGTATTGGCCAAGATTGCATATCGGTACAAGGAAAATAAAACCATATAACAGACTATTAACATCAATAGAAATTATTAAAGGGTAATGCTAGTTACCTGTACATAAAGCTGACATACATCTTGATTTGCAGGGGAGCTTGGATTGGGTTGATCAAGAAAATCTTGAATGCCCACTAGGATTTGCTTTACCGTAATGGATGGTCTCCACCCCTTGGAGAGAAACAGGGTTTACTTTGGCAAAATAATATGAATTTACATCAAAGGTTGGTCTAAAAAGTACTTACCGCGTTCAGGATAGACAGACACACATTTCCTGAAGCATAAACATTAGGGTGGAAGAAACCATTTGGAAACTTGCATGTAGGTGGTCTGCTAGGGTAGTCCTCGCAGAAGATAAGAGTAAGAGGATAGTAGCCACCTTCCCAGTCAGTCTGAAAATCGGAAAAGAACATTACAGATGGAAAAACATTAATAAACTTATGCTATCTTGTATCTTCCCAGTTATGCTATCTTCTCGTATATAAGCATATTAAAGAAACTATAGCATATAAGTGCATAACATTTTTATACTTTTAGGCGACTACGTAAATTCTCATTGAATAAAATATTTTCTTAGTTAAGATGAAGCCGTCAGTATCTGAAACTAAGCATTGTCAAGCCTTCCAGTGCTAGATGTACATCAAATGAACAAAGTGATTAGTATTAGAGCAAAACTAGAAAGGTCAAATTTGTTTGTAATTAAGACGAAACAAGGCAGAAACTATTTAGACACGACTTTACAGCTTCTACTCAAATTAAATATCTCAACATAGTGATTAACTAATAAACAGCCATAGAGATCCCAGACTTACAAACATAGAACAAAACGTCAAAACCCAACAAAAGAAAATTTTCAAAGGTCCAAGCTTTGATTAAAAAAAGGATACTTTGCCGGTGTAAAGAAGTAAAGACTGACCCCTATTTTGCCGGGGATAATGCAATGCCAAACCATCAAATTAACAGACCCGTCTGGCTTTATCTCAGGCTTAGCCACAAAACCCTTCAAATCAGCAACGAAAAGTAAAAAAAATAAAAAATATATATATAAACACTATAAGGGGAGAGAATGTTGTTACATGGGGATGATTTTTGCGCCAGGTTTTTCGTTCCTCCGCAAGACGACTACGTGCGATGCCACCCGACATAGCGTTTCCGAAAGAGTTTATAAGAAGGATCTCTCTGTCTTGCCTAGCAAGCTTTCTCTGTCGAATGCAGAGATTTGAGTTGAGTTTGGTCTTTTTAAAGCCGACTGCGAACGTTTCTCTTATAAACGTGACTCTTTCTCTTCCCTTTTTTTCTTCTTATTTTTATCATGAAAACTATCTATGTTCAAAATCCATAAAAGATACTCGTGTGTGATTTTGATACCCAAGCCCATTACACTGGAAATCAAAGCCCATACGATATGCAACGAAATGGATGGCCTCGATTCGGCTTCACGAAATACATGTTGTCTCTTTCTACTAGGGATGGCAAACGGGTATAGTTTCGTAGATTCCGCACCGCATCCTCTTCAATTAAAGCGGGGATGGGTATAACTTTAGCGGGTAGTGGGCGAGTGTGGATTTATAAAGTGGTACCCGTCGTGGGTGGTGAGCGGGTAATGGGTTTGAGACATTACTCGCCTCGCATCTGCCTGCCCCTCATCCGCTCGCCCCGCATCCGCCCGCCCAACTAAATATATATTAAATTTTGGACCATAATGAATTTAGGTGTAATTTTAGAGACTAATTTATAAATTTTAATATTGTATAATATATAACATATAATTTAACCAAATATTAAGGATATTTAGTCTTTAATCTGGTCTTTAATTAGGGAAATATTCAGCTCTTTGATTAAACCCATAATCTCACTAACCACGTCACTTTCCATGTTCTTTAGCCCATGCTACTCATGCAAACACAAATTAGTCGTACTATAAGCATTAACATCAAAAGCAGCATTTTCCATGTTCTTTAGCCCCTTAAAACTCATATTAAGCGCACTATAAGCATTAACATCGAAAGTAACTCAACAATCCAGCTCTGCGACTACATGCTCCCTACAATCTGTCTCCATAATATTCGTAGAGCCACTCCTCTGACAAATTGAAGCATGTGTTGCTACCCCATCACGAACTGTCTGGGAACCAACTCTAATATCCCATTAGTTTGTTGTCTGGCGAGTCTAGATGGGCATGTCGCTAGTAGATAGTAGGTGTGGGGATGGATTTGAAAATGTACCCGCGTGGGCGGGTGTGGATTTAAAAATTTGTACCCATCATAAGTGGTAGATTGAAAAATATTAGGTGGGTATGGAGATGGGGGAGGGGGTATCCGCACCCGACCCGCCCGTTTGCCATCCCTACTTTCTACAAGATGGAGCCTGTTGGGATTATCTGCGGCTGGTGATTTTGGAAGATGAACGATGTAGAGGTGAACTGAGGGGTCAGCAGATTCCATGCAGAATGCCAAACTAAATTCTGTCTAATCAATTAATTAGATCACAAAGCTGATAAATTAAGATGACAAATATCATAATTATCTCATTTTGTTTATGAGATACTACAAACACATATGATTAAAATAAATTAGAAAAAAATCAAAACTCAAAATTAATGTTGAAGAAAAAAAAAGCAAGAATTTGTAAATTATAGTCGCGGTTTGAAAATTTTAAAAATAAAAAACATAAATTTAAAATGAAAAAAAAACGATAATTAATTTTTTAATTTTTATAAAATACGGCAACTAAATTTTAACAAATTAAAGTAGAAAGATAAAATTTTCGCAAAATAAAAATGACGAATTTCATAAACGGACCCGTAGAAAAGACAAGAAAGAAATATTGAATGGCCCTCACCCTGTCTGCTTTGTTATGACTGTTGGCAGAGGCAACCATGACTGCATTTGATTGTGGTTTATGACAAATGGAGACTTTGAACTTACCCCACAATCTAATTTCAGAAATTGAAGGCAGGCATGCGCATGATGAAGGCCTAGGACCCTGCACATGTTTCTGTCCCATTTGGGGGGAGAAAAAAGCTTTTAATTTCATCATCAAAGGGTTTTACAACAAGAGAGCACAACACATTTTAACATTAGTTTTGGCGTTTCATTGTACAAGACGAAATTATGATGGGGTGGACAAGAAAAAAAATGGAAACACACAAAATTAGATTTGGTTATTGGCTTTCTGGTTGACATTAGTGTATTCACTGTAATAATTATGCTCTCAAGAATCATAACTTTCCTATGAAACCTTGATCATGTTAAAACTGTACTTGAAATTAATATATTAAAAGAAACCGAGTGTACTGATTAGCGAAACAGAGTCATTAGGTTAATGACTTTGTTAATGATTCTTATTTATAAAGGGGAGAGATTGAAAGAGTTTGCTTGTGAGAATCATAGAATGAAAGGGGACAAAAAGATGGGTGTTTAGTGATGTAAAGGAGGTGGGAGCATGTTATGTAAAGCTTCACATGGTTTTTTGACAGAAAAGTGTCCATGAGCAGGGTAACTCTCCAAATTCATTGAAACATGCACGTTGCTGATGACTTGAACGGTTCATTATCTCCAATGTCTGTGCCAGCTCAGAAACAGATGAAATATAGCCCAGGTATTGTTAACGGTCCAGCCAGAGAATCAGCAGCATTCCGGAATCTAACACGAAATCCGAAAGGTAACTTCATTCTCCAACTTGAATCATAGTGCGGCAATCTGCTTTCATGCTTACCTAAGGAAAGTTGGATTTGCTGCTAATGCAGACAGTAACGCTTGGGCAGTTACCAATAAAAAAGTTGGTAGCTATAGGACATGCTGGCAACGCCAAACTGTGGAGGTGGAAAAGAAGCCATCACCAATGGCTCCTACAATTCAAATGGAAATGGCAGAAGCCATGGCGACTTTCAGAATGGATCAGACACAGTGATGAAACACTAATAAGGGCAAGGCCTCGTTCTCAAGCTCTGACACATAGAGTCTGATATTCGATGGTCACCATATTACTTTGGCCAAAGTAATCTTAGGTTTTATGCATATTCCTAACTGAGGTGCAGGGTGAAGCCTAGAAAAGAGTAGGTAAAATTTTCTATCTTGAATTTTTCATGTTGGTATAACCTCCAATCATATGCTATTCATGCCCATGTCACAATTTCTTCTAGTTATCGTGATTTCTATGCCATTGAGGACATATTACTTCTTCTTGACTAAAAACATGGCAGCATTTCTGATTTGCAAATCTCAACTTGAGAAAATGAGTTTTGACTGTACTAAAAGAACAATTTACAAAATAAATTGATGAACTAAGTACATGAACTCAAATTTATCTGCTAGGGTAGCCAACTCAAACAAAATGTCCTAGGGAGACTAATAGCTTAAGAGAACCATGGTCTGCTTGATTGAACATAATTCACTTAGAAAAACCTTACTTTCCATGTACCAATGTGCCTGAGCCTTATCTTTTTTCTTGGTGCAGTGTATTGGAACTGGCTGTTGGAACCTGCATGAGCCGTGTTGGTTTAGTTGATTTTTTTAGAATATCAATAGTGTAGGTTTGTATAATCTTCCAATTTTTTTCTGTGATTACTACATCCGCGGCATCTTGTAAAGAAGTGTTTATGCTTCCAATAGCGTGCCAAATACGTTGAAGACATTAGCATGAGATGGTTTCAATGGCAATAAAAATAAGTATAATGGTAGAAATTTGTATGAAAGCTGCAGTCTAATAGTCTTTTCCTTTTTCAGATTTTCATTTTTTTTTACCTAAATTTGTAATTTCTTGGTTCATAAACTTCAGCATGTGTGCAAACTTACTATTAGTTTTGTTAAAAGAATGAAAGTCTGTAGCATTTTCAATTGTTATATTAGCAAAGTTTTATAAGTCTCTCCCTGGAAACCGGTTTGATATGATGCCTCGGAAGGCTTGTATCTACTAAATTTCTAATATAACGTCTGAAATGAAGGGCCAAAGGTAGGAAAGAGCAGCAATTGCATTTTGTTATCACGCGGTATAAAATATGTTGGTTTTACTTTCATTTATTGCATACTATAGTCCTACAATTACATGCTAGTAACATCATAACTTAATTAACACATCCAGAAAGTGGGTCCAAATCACCATCCTCCATTAATACAGCTTCTTTAATCTCCTGTAACATCTTCAGAACTTGCCACATCGTGGGCCTTTGTTCGGGAGAGCTCAAACTACAAGCAATGGCCACTTCTAGAAGCATCCCCAGCCTTTCATCATCCCCTACGTCGTCTTCCCTGCAGGACCTAAGCCAAGGCATCATCTCATCCGGAAACAGAAACGGATGCTGGGAAGGAGGTTTCCCTGTCAGAAGCTCTAACAACAGAACCCCGTATGCAAAAACATCAGATTTTGATGTTGCCTGCTGATTTGAATTGCGAGTTTCCGGAGGTTTACATGCAGTGGAATCAGGATCTTCGTCCGGTGAGGAAGTGACCAGGGCTGCCAGGCAGTAGTCGGAAAGACAGGCCTCAAAGTCGGGACCAAGAAGGACGTTAGAGGACTTGAGATTGCCATGGACAAGCCTCCATGCCTGGTGGATGTAGGAGAGGCCTTGTGCAACGTCCTCAGCTATTTTCAAGCACGACGTCCAGTGGAGTGGCTTTTCCCTTGTTGATTTCGATCCTGCACATGTTACAGTGCTTCAGTTTAGGTCAGTCCATTGGGGTGGGGATGTGTTTAATTATTAAATTAATTGATACCAAAATCACATCAATTACCCATGAATGCGCAGCAGCAAGATTCTCGTTCATAAAAAAATATAGATACCTCTCAAATTAAACTGACCAAAGTATTGTCCCTATGCTACTACAAGGCCAAGGCATGTGATTAGGAGAATTGGTAATTGAGATTAAAACACGTGTGCCATTCCCTGATTGGGTTGCCGCCCGAGTGGAAGCGATGCTTATCTCCGAAACATGCAAATCATTCAAACAATTGAAGAAAAAAGAAAGCATGAAGTTATTACCATGAATGAGGGAGAAGAGACTGCCATTGGGCTGAAAATCATATATAAGAAGCCTCTCTTGTTTGGCCTGGAAATACGCCCTGAGAGGAACCAAATTGGGATGCCTTAAGCCGCCAACTGATTCCAAGTGTTGCTCGAACGTTTCCTTGGTTGTGGCTGCTAATTTACCAGCATCCAGCCTCTTAACCGTCACCACCAGACGATTATCAAGCACTGCCTTGTACGTCGACCCCATGGTGCCCTTCCCCAGTAACTCAGCTGACGCTCTCATCAGTTGGTCCAACGAATACAACTGCGCCTCACCCGCACAGAATATCAAGTTCCCACTCTTGGCTACTTGCATTCCTTGCACTCTCTTCACTTTCTCCTCTAGCTCATTTTCTTGCTCCATTTGAATCACGGCCGCAGCTTGTGCTGCAGCCGCCTCGTCATCTGATTCAACCGTAACCGTTGATTGCTTTTTATCCGTCGGCTTCCATACTGCCATTACAAAGCAAACAAGGGAACCAATAAGAACAAAGACCCCAGTAGAGAACCCTATAATAACCGCGGTTTTCCGCTCCTTTGAACTTGACTGAGGCTGAGCCAACTCCACTCCATGCTCTTCTGCACTTTGACCAAGAGCCACCATAGGCGGCGGCGGCTCAACTGCATATGTGGGACCAAAAAAGTGGGGCCTTGGATGACATTCTTTGTGAACAATCTTTCCACAAAGACCAGGATTCCACGAAAAACAAGAGAACTGGAACCGTAACAACGTTGGGGTCACAGGAATCGGACCAGTAAGATTGTTCCCTGAAATGTTAAAGGTTTTAAGGGAAGACTGGTTCAATGGAGGAATTGTTCCGTTAAGCCGGTTCAGGTCCAACCTTAGGTAGTACAATGGGTCTAGAGAAGCTAACGAGGTTGGTATGGGGCCAGTGAGATTATTGTAGGACAAATCAAGGGTTCTTATTCTGTGAAGGGAAAGAAGAGAAAGAGGGAAAGAGCCATTGAAGGAGTTATGATCAAGGAAGAGGGTTTTGAGGTTGAGGAGGCCTGAAAGATCAGGAATGGGACCTGTGAGGGAGTTGTTTTGGAGACTCAAAACCCGGAGCTGGGCGAGTTGGGACAATGTGTTGGGAGCAAAAACGCCACCAAGATCTAGATCTTCTAAAATGAGACGTACCACTTTCTGCTGGTAACATGTGACTCCTTGCCAATCACAAAACCCAAAGCTTGCATTTTCAGAGAACCCGAGATGGTTTCTCATATCTGCTTTAGACTGAAAACCCAAAAGAGCAGCAGCCTCAGGTGATGACCTTAGCTTTGCAGCTTCTGCATAAACAACTACACTACATAATACTAACAACAACCCTTGAACAAGGGCTTGTCTTTTCTTCTTCAGCATTTCTTTTTAGCTCTCTATCGCCACTCTCTGACCTTTTTCTCACAATGTCTTTTCCATATGTAATAGGCTTGGTTGAGTACTCCGTCCCATTCTCCTGAACCGGATAGGGCAAATTGTTTGGGAGAGATAGAGAAGAGTACTCTAGATGGCAATAGGAGCAAGCAGTACGTGACAAAAGTATGTAGTAGCTAGGGGAGCAGCTGTCGACTGCAAGCTCAGAATCACGTGAATGCAAGAAAAAAAAGGGATGTAATATGGGCAAAAAATAGGGGATTTTTTTTTTCACAGGATGACACCATTTCCGAAATTATTTAAAGAACCGATTACATTAAAATCATTATAATTTCTTTTGAAACAAACTTATTATAACTGATGGAAATGAATATAGAGTACGCCAACACCATAACGTAACCTCTTGTGGAAGAAAGGTACCATTCGTACCTTTTTAGGGAGTTTCAAGCTTTCTCAAATCGGTGTTACCCTAATTATTATCAAGGCCTTCTAATAAAAAGTGGACAGGTACGTACAACCCAAATCTTGGTTTAGATAAACAAAAAATAATAATCTACGGGATGACCACTAAACTATTGTTCATTTTTATTTTGATCATCGATGTTTTAATTTAATTAATTATTTGAATATTTCAATCAAGTCGTTCTTTAACTTTTAATTGATGAAATAACGCGATAATTAAAAAAATTAGTATAATTATTTATTTGATCATTAATATTTATACATTCTATTAATTTAATCATAATTTTAATTCAATTTAATATATTTAATCTCTGGATATGACATATGTCACCACGTGCTTAGGATTATTTTTAACTAATTAATTAATTTTTCTAATTATGGTGGCACCTGTCACAACATGAGTGAGTAGAAAATAAGTTAAAAGAGTAAAGGACTCCCAAGTGAATTTGAACCCAGGTTGTGAGAAGCAAAATCAACGCCCATGACCACTGGGCTAAACACTCTACTTAATATAATTTTGAAACATTTTTTACTAAACTTAATAATTAATTACTTTAAAAAGATTTTTTTAAAATTCATTTTAAATATTCATGACCACTTAATTATTTTTAATGAAAATTAAATAAAATATTTTTAAATTAATGAATTATCGGGTTCAAACACTTCATTTTAATAAAAATTGAAATTATTTGGTTTACTAATTATATGTATATATATTAAACTATAAAAATAAAAGAATAAATCTAGTTTAAAAATAAAAATAATAATAATCTTATTTTTATTAAAAAAAATCAAATTGATAACAATAATTATATAATGTTTGAACTTTAATCAAATGTTTGATTTACTTGGTGGATAATTTAAGTATAATTTAATTCATTTTTGTAGAAAGTGTTTTAAAATATTACAAAGTAAGGTGCTTGGCCAGTGATCTTAGACGCTTGTAATGCTTCCTTTAGTTTGGGTTCAAATTCCCCTAAGAGTGTCAAACTGTTTAGTCTCCTTTTCTCTTCTCTAACTATTTTCTACTCAATCACATGCTGACACATGTCACTATCTAATTAAGAAATTAAATAGATTAAATTGAAATAAATTATGACTAAATTAATAGAATGTATAAATATTGAGGACCAAATGTATGGAGGGAGATAAAGAGATTGAGTTTTGGAATATTTTCAGTGATGCATTTTCATTGATTTATATACAAAGTTCAGCTTAACAAATCTGCTGGAAAATTGATATGTTACAACCAAAAAGTAACAACCTTGTACATGAAAACATATTACAACAAATATAAAATTTTAAACAAAAGAATCCTTATAAAACATAAACACTAATGTATTCTTATCAAGCCCCCGCAAGATGGACAGAGGTAGAGTCAGTCTAATCTTGTTGGTAACTTGGTGATGAGATAGCGACTTACGAAGAAAATCAGCAAGTTGATCAGACGATGAGACATGGGAGACGCGAAAAAAAATACCATTTTGCACTTATTCCTTGATAAAATGATAGTCCAAGGCAACATGATTCATGAGAGAGTGAAAGACGTGATTAATACAAAGAGTTGTTGCACCAACATTATCACATTAGACCACTGGCTGAGTTGGAATATGAACGCCAAGTTCATTGAGGGGTGAACAAATCCATCATAATTCGGCGGTAGTGGCTGCAACAGAGCGATACTCAGCTTCAGTAGAGGAACGAGCAACAGTTCTTTATTTCTTGAAACTTCAGGAAATAAGATTGTGACCGAGATATACAATATAAGCACTTGTGGAAGTGAAATTATCCTTGTTGCTAGCCCAATCAGAATTCGAGAACGCATAAAGGGTAAGAGATGAGGAACGAGGAAGTGTGATGTCATGATCCAAGTTGCCACAGAGATAGCGAAGTAAATGTTTGGTGGCAGTCCAATGTTCCGCGTTGGTTTATGCATGAACTGAGACAGTTTGTGGACTGTGTAAGCGATGTCTGGGCGAGTGAAGGAAATATACTGAAGACTCCCAATAGTGGTATTATACTCAGTGGGATCAGACAACAGAGTAACAGAATGCAAGGTGAGAGGTGGAGTTGTTGCAAGAGGGGTGGAAATTGGTTTGGCATTTAGTATATTAGTCTTCTGAAGGAGATCAACAATATATTTTCGCTGACTGAGAAACAAGCCGTCAGCATGAGACAAAACTTCAACACCCAGAAAGTAGTGTCAGTCACAAAGGTCCTTTAGAGAGAAATGTATAGAGAGTTGTTGAAGAAAATTATGTACAACATGATTTGTGTTACCAGTGACAATAATGTCATCAACAAAGACAAGAAAATAATAATAATTCTATGAGTGTTGAGTATGAATAGTAAAGTGTCAGTTGTAGAGTTATGAAAGCCAGAGACGAGGAGAAATTGACGTAATTCATGATACCATGCATGAGGAGCTTGTTTGAGTATGTAGATGGCTTTGCGAAGCTTGCATACATGATAAGGATGATCATGGTCAACGAATCCTAGAGGTTGAGCCATATACACGTCTTCAATAAGTGTACCTTGAAGGAATGCATTGTTAATATCCAATTAGCGAAGGGACCATCCTTGATTTACCGCAAGACTGAGAATCAGACATATAATGGTTGGTTTGACGACTAGACTAAATGTTTCATTGTAATCCACCCCAGGACACTGATGAAAACCTTGAACTACTAGATGCACTTTGCACCTTTCAACAGATCAATCTGGTAAATATTTGGTGCGAAAAATCCATTTACATCCAACTAGATTTTGAGTAAGAAGAAATGGAAAAAGTTCCCATGTGCCATTATGAATGAGAACATCAAATTCTTTAGACATAGCCTTTCTCCACTTGGGATCTTTTAAAGCTTGAGTAATAGTGGTAGGTTCAAAAGTGGGATGGTGAAGTTTGGTATTGAGGTTGTGTTTCTAGACTGGTATGATGACTTGTTCAGGTGTAGGTGTAGATGTGGGAGGTACAGTGGCAGCTTGTAATGTTAGAATGATGGTTTGTTTATTTGGAAAGGCAGATGTGAAAGGGACAGTGTTGAGTTGTAGCATTGGTATGTTGGCTTGCTCATATGGATGGGTAGACGTAGGAGGTATAGTAGGTGAGGGGGATTGAGAATGTGATGGAGATGGAGACACAGTTAAAGTAACAGGTAAAGCCATATACACCATTTTAAGTTGGTGGAGAAGGTGACACGAGGGAGATTGTGATGAAAAGCAGCAAAGGGATACACGGATTCCATAAATGGACATGACGGGATGTGTACAAGCGGTTGATGGACGTGTCTAGACATAGATAAGCACTTTGAGTGGAGAAATACCTAAAGAAGAGATAAGGCATTGAATGGGGTTGAAGTTTGTGAGATGTGTAAGGATGAAGCCAAGGATAGTATAAACAACCAAAACAATGAAGTTTATTGTAATTAGGGATAGTTCCAAATAGTTTGAGGAATGGAGATTCATTGTTGAATGTAGGTGTAGAAAGAATATTTATGAGGTAAACATTTGTTTTAACTACAAAAGACCAATAAGAAAGAGACATAAAAAAAGAAGCAAAAGAGCAGTTTCAACAATATGACAATGTCGACGTTCGAAAAATCCATTATGTTCAGGGTATGAGGAGGAGTGAAGTGGGAAATGACATTTATCGTTAGGAGGGAAGAAAGATCTTGATATTCTCCTCCATTATTAGAGTGAAGTGTTTTGATGGTGCAGTTGAAGAAATTTCCACTAGGGCCTTAAAACTAGTAAATACATCACAACACCATATTTGCATTTTAGGGGATATAACCATGTATATTTGGTGAAGTGGTCAACAAAGATAATATAGTATTTAAAATTGTCAACTGAATAAACTGGTGAATTCCAAACATATGTAAAACAATTTCAATATGAGAGGAGGTGGATAAAGTAGATATAGAAAATGGTAATTTATGACTCTTATTGCAATGACATGAATTACAATGAAAATTAAAATGAAAAGAATTAATGACATCCAGCTTAAAAGAGGAGATCATTTTCTTGAATGTCGACATTGATGGATGACCAAGTCTGTGATGCCAACTAATGGATGTGATCTTTATTAAGGAGAAAACAAGTAAAGGAGATGATGAAGAGGAACAAGGCCACTTATATATGCCATTCTTAGTTTTCCCTTAGAGAATAATCAAGCCCATAGAAAATAAGGATAAGAACTCAACAGAGGCATTATTAGATTTGCAAAACTGAGAAATGAAAATTGAATTTTGTTTCATAGTTGGTACACAGAACATAAAATAGAGAAAAAAGAATGAGATAGAGTTGTGAAAGATGTAGAACTTGTGTGTAATATTAGAGCCATCACTAATCATATTTCATCAGTGCCATTGTAGGGTTTATGAATAGCAATATTTTAGAGATCAGTTGTAATATGATGAGTGGCACCACTGTCCAGCAACCGAGGGTCATGTGCAGGTGAAGATGTAACAATATGTCCTTGAGCTTGCCAAGGAGTAAAATGGGTCCGGGTGGGTGAAAAGTTGAAGTTCGTGGGTTGAAGCGGGTATTGGCTAAATGGACAGAGGTAGATAATTTGAGGGAGGGTGAGATGTTGCATAAGGATAACTCCTTGTGAATAAGTTTTTCATAGAGTTCATCAAACGTGATTGGAGTATCTCGACTGTTGACTGCATCAATGATAGATTGGTAAGTGTCATCAATGCCTTTCAAAACTTTTTCAATTAAATCTTCATGATCAAATGGCTTTCCAACAGCAACAAGTTCATCAACTTTGATCTTGATGACTTGCATATAATCAATGACAGGTTGTGAACCTTTTGTAATATTCTTTAAGTCAAGTTGTTTGATATGGCCACGAGTAGGGCGAGCATAGGTGTTGGCGAGAGTACACCAAGCATCACGAGATGTTTTGGATTGGGTAATAAGTGACATAAAAGTAGTGGAGATTGTGTCAACAAGCTCCGAATAAAAGCTTATCTTGTCTTAACTATGTTTGATATGCAGGATTGAAAGAGATTATATTGTTGGTGGTAATTGTGGGAGGACGGGAGGGATAAGAACCATTAAGAAATTTGCAGAAATCATAACCAATGAAGATTAATTCGATCTGAGTTTTCCAAGAGAAATAATTGGTAGGAGTAAATTTTATAGAGTTATGGAAGGTAAACAAAGTTAGAGGATATTTTGGGTCTTGGTCGTTTGGGTGGGTAATTTGAGAGTTTTCCAAGAGCCATGAGTAGAATTGAGATTAGGTCTGTTTGTTTGCATATAATTGGTTTTTCGGAAAATGAATTATTAGAATTTGAATTACTGAAATTTGAATTACTGGAATTTGAATTACTGAAATTTGAATTCTGGAAAATGAATTACATTTCAGGAAAATGAATTACATTTCTGGAAAACATCTGGAAAACGTTTTATGATGTTTGGAAGATGTTATTTAAACATTTTTTCCACTAGTTGAAGAGTTTTTTAAAAGTTATTTATTACAAATATTAAATATAATAAGTAATATTATTTATCATAAAATTTAATATTATTATTTTAAAATATTAAAATAATTTATTTATTATTAAATATTATTTTTATAATTTTATTAATAAAAATATTAGTATTGGTATATTTTAGTGAAATAAAATATTATAAATTATATTAATTATTTATTAAAGTAATAGTGCTATATTATATTTTAAAAATATTAGTATATTTTAAATATCTTTACTAAAATATTATTGAAATATATAAATAATATTATTCATTATTAAATATATAAAAAATTTATTATATATTATTAAAAAAAATATAATATCTTATATTATTATAATATAATTAATTATTTTATATAATATTAAAATATAATATATATTATTATAAATATTAATAAATATATTTTAAATATTTTAATAATTAATATTTTGATGAAATGATATTAAAATATTTTATTAAAATTAAATTCATAAAATAAAACTATTTTGAGTATTTTTGTTTTGAAGTGAAAAGTTCGGAAAATGACTTACGGAAAATGAATCCGTAAGTCATTTTACAGAAAACACAAAGGAAATTCTGTTACTAGGAAAATGAATTACATTTCGGAAAACGAATTACGTGAAACAAACACGGGAAAACGTTTTCCGAAAAACAAATTACGTGAAACAAACACGGGAAAACATTTTCCGGAAAACGAATTACGTGAAACAAACACGGGAATTCAGGGAAAACCAATTCCGTAATTCCAATTACGGGAAACAAACAGACCCTAGATATTGGGTAAAGGTGAAGAATGAGAAAAAAAATCAGAAATCTAAGTCTGGTATGAGAGTGGTCTAACACCATAAAGAGATTGGGTTTGGGATATTTTCAGTGGTGCATTTCATTGATTTACATGTGTTTATATAAAAAGTTCAGCATAAGAAATCTGCTGGAAAAGCTTATATGTTACAATCAAAATGTAACAACCTTGCACTTATTCTTAAGGAAAATAGATTACAACAAGTCTAAAATTTTAAATAAAAGAATCCTTGTAAAATAGAAACACTAAGGGTCTGTTTGTTTCCCGTAATTGGAATTACAGAATTGGTTTTCCCTGAATTCCCGTGTTTGTTTCACGTAATTCGTTTTCCGGAAAATGTTTTCCCGTGTTTGTTTCACGTAATTTGTTTTCGGAAAACGTTTTCCCGTGTTTGTTTCACGTAATTCGTTTTCCGGAATGTAATTCATTTTCCTAGTAACAGAATTTCCTTTGTGTTTTCTGTAAAATGACTTACGGATTCATTTTCCGTAAGTCATTTTCCGAACTTTTCACTTCAAAGCAAAAATACTCAAAATAATTTTATTTTATGAATTTAATTTTAATAAAATATTTTAATATCATTTCATCAAAATATTAATTATTAAAATATTTAAAATATATTTATTAATATTTATAATAATATAATATTATATTTTTAATATTATATAAAATAATTAATTATATTATAATAATATAAGATATTATATTTTTATTTTAATAATATATAATAAATTTTTTATATATTTAATAATGAATAATATTATTTATATATTTCAATAATATTTTAGTAAAGATATTTAAAATATACTAATATTTTTAAAATATAATATAGCACTATTACTTTAATAAATAATTAATATAATTTATAATATTTTATTTCACTAAAATATACCAATACTAATATTTTTATTAATAAAATTATAAAAATAATATTTAATAATAAATAAATTATTTTAATATTTTAAAATAATAATATTAAATTTTATGATAAATAATATTACTTATTATATTTAATATTTGTAATAAATAATTTTTAAAAAACTCTTCAACTAGTGGAAAAAATGTTTAAATAACATCTTCCAAACATCATAAAACGTTTTCCAGATGTTTTCCAGAAATGTAATTCATTTTCCTGAAATGTAATTCATTTTCCAGAATTCAAATTTCAGTAATTCAAATTCCAGTAATTCAAATTCCAGTAAGGGTCTGTTTGTTTCCCGTAATTGGAATTACGGAATTGGTTTTCCCTGAATTTCCGTGTTTGTTTCACGTAATTCGTTTTCCGGAAAATGTTTTCCCGTGTTTGTTTCACGTAATTCGTTTTCCGGAAAACGTTTTCCCGTGTTTGTTTCACGTAATTCGTTTTCCGGAATGTAATTCATTTTCCTAGTAACAGAATTTCCTTTGTGTTTTCTGTAAAATGACTTACGGATTCATTTTCCGTAAGTCATTTTCCGAACTTTTCACTTCAAAGCAAAAATACTCAAAATAATTTTATTTTATGAATTTAATATTAATAAAATATTTTAATATCATTTTCATCAAAATATTAATTATTAAAATATTTAAAATATTTATTAATATTTATAATAATATAATATTATATTTTAATATTATATAAATAATCAATTATATTAATAATATAAGATATTATATTTTATTTTAATAATATAATAATTTTTTTATATTTAATAATGAATAATATTATTTATATATTTCAATAATATTTTAGTAAAGATATTAAAATATACTAATTAATATTTTTAAAATATAATATAGTACTATTACTTTAATAAATAATTAATATAATTTATAAAATTTTATTTCACTAAAATATACCGAAAAAATGTTTAAATAACATCTTCCAAACATCATAAAACGTTTTCCAGATGTTTTCCAGAAATGTAATTCATTTTCCAGAAATGTAATTCATTTTACAGAAATGTAATTCATTTTCCAGAATTCAAATTCCAGTAATTCATTTTCCAGTAATTCAAATTCCAGTAATTCAAATTTCAGTAATTCATTTTCTGAAAAACCAATTACAGCTAAACAAACAGACCCTAATTCAAATTCCAATAATTCATTTTCCGAAAAACCAATTATATGCAAACAAACCTACCCTAAAATTACGTATCCTTATCAAGAGAGACCAAAATGGGAGACGCTCAACAGTGTTGAAGTACAACTTAATTTTAGGTTCGGTCACCACATCGTGATGTTAGGATTTGTGAGTTCCAAATTCATAATATTTCAGTCTACCAACTTTTTTTCTGGTT